TCTGCCCGCCCCCCCCCCCCCCTCCATGTTTTTTGGTCTCAGGCTTGTGCCCTTGTTCCTTAAGAAATCAGGGTTGAAGAAAACAATAATCTTACCCATTCCCTGGCATAGATATAAATGTGTTTATTTTACAGGCATAGTGGGCCTAGGCCCACCAGGAAACCATAAGCTTCTATTAGCGGTTAAAGCAGGGGCGGGCAATTATTTTGGCTGGAGGGCCACTTATTGAGTTTTGGCAAGTAATTGAGGGCTACATGATAGGCAGCCAGGGGGTAGATAAATATTTATTTTCTAAATTTTGTAGGGACCCTGTGGACCGGATAGAATGGCCTGGCAGGCCGCATCTTGCCCACCCCGAGTTAAAGGAAGGCCTCTAACTGCATAACAATTGCTTCCTTGGGACAAAGGATGAAAAACGGGAACAGAAGTGCAGGTCAAAGGTTAATAACTGTGGTTCTGAGGGGGGACACCAAGCAGATGACACTGGCTAGAGCCTATTAAACATATAAGCAGTCTGCAGAAGCCACCCAGTGAAATTCTGCCTGGCGATGTACATGGTTAAGTGAAAGGAAAATCATCTGGGTTTCTCCAGGCCAGTGCCTCCTTTCTCAACTGATAGATGGAGAGTTTGGCTGGGACCAGGAGGAGGTTGACCAGAAGGTCCTGGGACTTAGCGGGGCTATGTATGTGGTATGAGGAAAAATGCAGTGAGACCCTCAATAAGAAGTTCCTGATGAGCTGGTAGAAGTGCTGCGGTCTGGTGCACTCAAGGCAGTCCACAGTCTCCTTTTGGATTCACTGTTCCTAAACCAAGCCAGACAATGCCTCTTCTTGAAAACCTCCAGTACAGAATATTCAGCAACGTGCATGTATAATAGAGCCGATGAGTCTTTCCTGGATGAGCCTTTTCTGCCTGTCCCTTCCCTGTGATTCCCACTCTGTTCCTTTTTCAGCTGTTGCGTTGTTGTTCCATTGCCTTGAGTATAATTCCTCCCATGCCTCTTCAGCCTTGCTCTCTGTTTGGGCATGGCAGTTTGTGATAGGAAGATGAGATTTCCCTGATAAGGTGAGCCAGGCCAGCAATTCCGTGACATGCTGCTGGTGAGCAATGCAGAACTGTTTCACAAATACCTGGTTCCTCCCCATTTGTGGCCCTAGATTCAGGACTTTGCTGGAGACAGGGTATCCATCAAGTGTACTGCCTTTACTTTCTTAAGGTACCAGTGGGAACCATTAGTAATGATCACTGGGCTCACTTCCAGAAAGAGCCACATACCGTGGCTGCTGACAAAAGGGACTCAACTACACCTGAAGTTCTATGTCACTCCACAGAGGGCAGCAAATTTCAGTATTTCTGTGTGGTTCTCTTGTGGTCTCCTGTTCTACAGCAGGGGGAGGTGGAGTAATGTGGCCAAGTCAGGTATGGTGATGCATGAGGAGTGCCAGGCCATCACATGCAGCAGGGAGCAGCACAAGCAGGTTTGATGGGAAGGATTGTGCTGGGCACACAGATGCATCAGTTTATAGGAAGGGACATGGCTGCCTGGAGAGAAAATGGTTACAGAGAAGCAGTTTATCATAGTTATCAGACAGCTGCCAAAATATTTGGTGCTTCTCCTCTTTCCCCACCCAGTAAAGCTGTCCTTTCACTTGGTCCCTCCTCAGCACAGGGCTATGGTTATGCTCAGTCCCTATTTCCTGCTGAGCAGAACTTATTGTCTCCCTTGCCCCCTTATCCAAGCAGCTGAGTCCTGTATCCCCATGCCCATGTAAGCATGATAGTGCTTGCTTGGTGCAGGATTTTTGGTGTTTCCTTTTCTTGTGCCATCTTGGTGGGGGATGGCATCATGCTCCCTAGGGGCACCTGCTTCTTTCCCAGCTGTCCTTGATTTCAGCAGTTGCTGGAGGATACTTGCTGCCCAGAAAGTTTGCTTCATGGGAGCCAGAGCTGACCATTTCCTGTGAGTTTCCTGAGGCAGTGAGGGCCACCTTGTTCCTGTCTGAGTCTTTCCCTCTTTGGGAATATCTGTCTTATTGCCTAGTTTACCCTGTAAGACAAGAGGGATGCTGTGCCATCATGTGCTGGCTTAGAGCCTTTGCACGAGGAAGCATTGACTTAATTTGCCTCCACATTTACAACAGCTGGTGGCAACATCCAGAGCTCTAGTTCATAAAACCCTGCTCACATGAGAAGGTTGAATGGGATGTACCTACAGCAGGTGTTGCAGATGTTCAAGGCCTGACTGTAGGCCTTCATTGTGAAGCCCATTCAGTGGAATTTAGGTGAACCTTTGGGCAGCCCAGACTAAGACATAGGCACAATAGTTTGTGTAAAGGCGCAAGCTGCTGGAGCCATGGGATGGCTTTGGAATCTCTGCTTCCATGAAAAAGTAAGCATGATGTTTCTAGATCTCATATTTGGGAAGAATGGCAGGAAATCATGGTCTTTGCCACAGATGCAGCTACATTTGCCTTAAGGAGGGAGACAAAGCTGTTCGGCAGATGGAGCCAAGGAGAAAGCTACTCTATTTAGGTGAGGCCAGGGGGAGAGACAGTAAGGGGGCAGGTGGTGGTAGGGCAGGCAGTATGGGTAGCAGTAGGAGTAGGTTGTAGGAGAACAGATGGTGAGGAGCAGTGGGGGCACCAAGTAGGAACAAGCAGCTTTTCCTCTCTTGCCTGTCCCCACACTACTTGCACTCCCTGCTGCCTGCTTCTTACTGCCTGTGTGCCTTTCCCCACTCCTGCAGCCTCAGGCCCCCCTGTCTCCCCTTTCTGCCATCCTCACTGCAATCTGGGGCATGGAGCACAGGCAAGTCCAGTGGCAGCCCCCTGCCTCCTCCCATCCTTGGCTGTCTTGTACTTTATTCCAAGATGAGGTGCTTTCCCCCCCCCAGGTTAAATGAGGGAAAAAACTTCACCTTAAAATCAAGTAAATATGTTACAGGTTTCCCTCGC